GGAGTGATTATGAGAGCCAAAATGATGAGAGATTTGGGAAGCCCAGATCAAGAAGAGAAAACCTAAGAACTGAGTTAGTAGCAGTGCATAAAGTGTGTCATGCCTTTGCAAAGTTATTCTTGGACACCCTTCAGGGATGAGTTGGACTGCTAACTTTCCAAAAAACCGAGACTCCATAAAGCATCAAATTTAGCGATGGCCCTTCTCCTTGACCCCCATCTTCTCTACTCATGACTTCTTTTAGATGCAAGGCTAGAAAGTCCTGAGAGAGAAATAAACAGCTGTTCCCCGCCTAAAGACAAAAGTCTGTGTTTTAGGGGGAAAAAAGTTTAAGCAACAGCTGCATTTGTAGATGCCAAAGCACAAAGACTTTCTGTCTTTATGGCACTTTTATCTTATTTACATGTCTTTACTAATCCAAATAATTATGTGCTTATGCGGGTAGAATTGTTTGCTCCATGATCTAAGAGAAATGGGTGGGGAAGCACCTGCTTTTAGTCATTAAAGTCTTAATGCTTTTGCACTGCATCCAAGAAAATAGTTAACAGACAAAAAGTAATTTGCCTTTTCCTGAGAATGAAAAGGAAGACCTCTTTGGTTTCACTTTGTGAAGAAGAGCAGAGAGAAGCCTCAAAGGTGGGTTTTCTCTGTTTATTGAAAGGAAACCATCATGGTCCCCATAGGGAAAAATAATTCCTGGGTTTTGGTTCTTCCTACCCTTTCCCACTCCCTGCCACAGAACTCAGCATTTGGAAGAATACCAGTTTTTGTTCCTTATTGGTGCTACCACCTGTTCTTATTGCTGAACTAAATGTTCTTGGCTTTCTTTGGTGTGAACAGGATCTCCCTCTGGGAAAGGTGGGAGGAGGGTGAAAAAGGGAACAGGAGGAGGCCCGTTCCAGCCCTTGTGCTCATGTGAGAGGGACACACAGGGGTTAGTGTGCTGCCCTAACAGAGGGGCTTTGTGCTACAGCTTCTTACAGAGCTGCAGCTCCACAGATGCATGCTGGGAGAGCTCAGGCTGCTTCATCCCTGGTACACTCGCTTTTTCCTAACAATAGCAGAGCAAGACTGATAATAATAGTTACAATAAAATAAAGAAGATGCAGGTATTCTGAATACATTCAGATATTCATTGTGTGTGGAGAAAGTTGCCTGTAATTAAGAGATGAGGAAAGAGTATAGCTTGGAGCCATTGATGACACCAGACACAAGTCATATCTGTTATTGCATGTCTATTGTGCATGTAAGCAGAGCTCTGACTTTAGGTCTTGCCCTTTCTGTGCTGAAACCTTTCTTATATAGTCATGGGAAATCTGCCTCTCCTAAGTAAGAGCAACAGAAAGAGAAAAGATTGGTTCTTCCTACCCAGATTTCAGAGCCTAGGGAGGTAACTCAAAGTAGATGCATTTCTGACCTAAGGTCAGTAGCAGACGGGCTTCTTAGTAACCTAAAAATATAATGACAATAATAATAATGATAACAACAACAATGGCAGCTAATACTTAGATAGCACTTATACAGCCAGGCATTAGTCTAAGGTATAGAGATATAGATAATTCATTTAATCCATAAATAACCCTAGGAGGTAAGTATTATTACTAATCCTCTTTTAAAAGAGGAAACTGAAGCCTAGAGAAGTTAAGTAACTTTTCTGAGGTCACAGAGATGGTAGATAACAGGACTGGGATTTTGAACCCAGATAGTCTGGTTCCAGAGTCCATGCTCTTAACTATTACTCTATACCATCTCTCAGTGGAGTCCTGTCCTTTCTCAAGCAGGGTCATCTGAACCACAGAACACAGAACATAACTTGAGTGACTATTTTAATTCTCTCTGGATAATAACATAACTACTGCATGCATAGGAGAGACGTTAGTTCATTAGGAATTGTTGATGCCTTAGAGTATTAGGGCTTAATTCTTGAGGGAACTCAGTTGAGAAAGACTAAAGGGGCTGTAGTTTGCAAATATCACATTTGTACACAACTGTCCTGGAACTAATTTTGCATTGGTTTGTTTTGAAACCAGTTTTGAGCTCTGCACAAAGGACCAAACCTCATCCATCCCATGCTCTAGAGATAGAGCTTTTGTTAGCAGTAATATCTTAGCATTAACAGTTGAGAAGAATGGCAAGTTGGGATGTGATAGTGGTCACACTTAGTGTTTTCAGTTGTCAAACCACTATTATTTGTAGAAGCAGTCACTGCTTCTTGGGCCACCTTTTCCTTTGTTTCTCTGTTCCTGTGTCTCAGAATCCTGTAGGTCACTTGGTGTAGATATCCAGTTGTCCTCTGAGAATGTTTATCTATCGTCCTAGACCATTCCTTTTGGTCTAGTTTAAGGGTCACTGATAGTGAAGGTCCTGCCTTGCCTTTCCCTGATCTTAAATATATTTGTGAAAAATGTCTAGGTTAATCCAAAATAACTTGGAGTACTTATAATAGATTTCCCCCAGCTCCTAGCTTATAAAATAATACTAAATGTGTATTATTTAGTACTGTCTCCACACTGTATGGAATTCTTTGTAGGGAAATAATAGCAGGTTACGTAGCAAATTGTTCTTGAGCTGCTTTTGGGATAGATGTTCAATGTGTATGAGGAAGAACAGTGCTAGTAAGAGAGTAGAATGAGGAAAAAACAGTTCTAACTTGAAATTAGCTGAATGAGGTTTAATTCCATTTTGCTTTAACCAGTTATATTACCTTAAGAAAAATTTTCAACTTTTCTAGGTGATTCTTTATCTGCTTAAAAGAGGGACTAGGGATACCTGGGTGGCTCAATTGGTTAAGCATCTGACTCTTGATCTCAGCTCAGGTCTTAATCTCTGGGTCGCGGGTTCAGGCCCTGTGTTGGGCTCCCCAGTGGGCATGGAGCCTACTTAAAAAAAAGGAGGGGACTTAATAATATCTTAATAAGATCTACCCATATCACATCATTCATTCATTCATTCATCCAAAACAAGTTATCGGTTGCCCTCTATGTGCCAGTACCCTTCTAGGTGCTGGGAATAATATAGCAGGGAATTAAAGGGCAAAAATTTTCTGTCCTCACACTTAAATTCTAGAGAGTATAGTCAGACAGTAAATAAGTAAAATACGTGGTATTAAAGATGATAATAAGTGCCACAGAGAAAAATAAAACAGCTGAGGGTGGAAGGTTTGGGGAAGAGGGGGTGGAGCTTGAAATTTTAAATAGAGTGATCAGGGGGCACCTGGGTGGCTCAGTTGGTTAAGCGTCTGCCTTTGGCTCAGGTCATGATCCCAGAGTCCTGAGATCAAGTCTGCATTGGGCTCCTTGCTCAGTGGGGAACCTGCTTCTCCCTCTGCCTGCCATTCCCTCTGCTTGTGCGCTCTCTCTTTTCGACAAATAAAATCTAAAAAAGAAAGAAAGGAAGAAAGAGAGAGAGAAAGAAAGAAAGAGAAAGAGAGAAAGAAAAAAAGAATGATCAGGAAATACTATATAGTGAGGGTAATATTTGGATAAAAATCTGAAGAGCGAGTGACTGAGCTGCTGATAGTTCAAGTAAGATGAGGACCAAGAATTGACCATTCTAGGTTGGTGAGGCCTCCTATTCTTAGATCACATAAGTAGGTTTATAAAATGGTCTTATTTCTGGTCTCATTAGTAAGTCTGAAAAATAACCATGGAATTTTTTTATATGAAGAAATTACTAACAAGAATTTCAAGTGAGTGACATTCTTTGGTGTGTTGATATGTAACTATCGTTGAATTTATTGTTTATCTGGGTGGTTTAGTGAGGATCTGGGCCATGTGATGTCAAAGGACCATATTCTAGTTTTTTTGGGGAAGGTCCAATACCACATCAAGCCAGGTGCCACTTGTTGCCACTCTTTGTTTCCATTCTCTGGAGGTCACATTCATCATTGTTTTAGATCAGGCAAAGATGGAGAAGATAGATACATTTAATTACACCAAAATTAAAAAAACTGCTCCACATAAAAGACATTAGAAGACTGGAAGAAGATATTTGCCACAAGTCATATTTATAAAAGACTCAGAAAAACTAAATGTAGTTAGAAAGACTCAAATTAACCAGTCTGAGTGTATTTATTAATTGCTGACAATGATATGGGGAAATTTATTTATATTCATTTACTGGTGGAAGTAAAAGTTGAGATAGCCTCTTTATACGGCAAAAAATTAAGAGACTGCCAAAATGTCCGTCAATAAAGAAATGGATAAATAGATGTTGTATAGGCACCTGATAAAATACAACGCATCAGGGAAAAGGGATGAACCGTGTGTGTGTGTGTGTGTGTGTGTGTGTAATTATGGATAGATCTCAAAAATAATGCTGAATTTAAAAAAGTAAAAGTGTGATGCTTTGTATATAAACAAAAAATATACATAAAAGTATCTATGTATTATTTAAGGATACACACACACACAAATACACCGGTATTAAAAAACAGAAGATTGTGCAACAGACTCATGATAGTGAGTACCTGGTAGAGAATGGGTGGTCTTAAATTGGACTTCATCTGTAGATTTGAAATAAACATGATGGAATGTTTATTTCTGGGTATTAGACAAGTAGGTCTTTGTTATATTATTCTTTGTCCTTTGAGTAATTCTAAATTAAGAGAAGGGGGCCAGGTTTCATAGGATGAGCCCCAGAGAATTATTTACCAAACGATTTATATATAATTTGTCCTTATTTACTGTGGATCTTCTACCTCTGTATCAGAGGAAATGAAGTAACCCTATATTAATTAACTCATGACAGTGGTCTCTCCTAATGTGTTCTTGATGGTATCACAGTCAGATGGAAGAGCAAGGATCCTTACTAGCACAGATCATGCTCCTTATTCTGACTCTTGATTTTTTACTTTTTTGTTACTAACTACAAGCATATCAGCTCATGGGAAGTACATTTGGTTCCATTGTCAAAAGCATGGAGATGCTAGCTTGACAGACTGGGATGTGTAGAAGCTTAATAACACTGCTTTTTTCCCTTGTCTAACCACTTCCCTACAGGGAATCTTTAACCAGTTTCAGTGTAGTAGCGAAAAAGTGCTTCCATCTGACACTCTCCGCAGTGCTCTGGCAAAGACTTTCCAGGATGAACAGCGTTTCCAGCTGGGAATTATGGATGATGCTGCAGAGTGCTTTGTAAGTGTTGGCCTCTGGCCCTCTTTGATATGGGGTGAGACTGTTGATGATTTCCATCAAGGACTGGGTACTTTACTGTAGTATTTAGTCTGCCCTAGTATCTACAATTAGGACAAGGAATTTCCCTAGTTTTTCAGAGCTGGTCTAGGGTGTCTCTGTTAATGAAGTAAGAATTGCATAATGGGTTTACTCTTTTTCCTTCAGGCTTAGAGTAGTTTTGTGCTTGCCATTGCATAAAACAGTGGCTCTCGCCTTCAGAGGAGACAGGGCTCATTAAAATACAAATTGCTGTGTCCCATTCCCTTGAGTTTCTGATTCAGTAGGTCTGGATTGGGGCCCAAGAATATCTAGCTCTAACAGGTTTCCAGGTGATGCTAATACTGATGCTGCTGGTCTGGGGACCACCTTACTTTGTGAATTCCTGCATTACTAATGATAATTAAACAGAGAATAACTGAGTCCCTAACACAAGTGTAATGTGCTGTTTGGGTAGCTACATTGCTCCCAGTGACTTTTAGTAGAAGACTGTTCTGAACTCTGGGTTCTATCCATCAACCTTCAAAAGACTCTCTGTGCATCCATTAAAAAAATCTGAGAGTGATCTATATTCCATTACAGGGTAAAATGTCACCAAAATCAGAGGTACTCCTGAGAAACTGGAACACTTATATATTGCTGGTGGGAACGTAAAATGGTATAGCCACTCTGGAAAACAGTTTGGCAGTTTCTTAAAAAACTAAACTTAAAAATTATCATATGGTTCAGCAGTTGCATTCCTGGACATGTATCCCAGAGAAATGAAAACTTAAGTTTATACCTATCCATGAATATTCATAGAATCTTTATTTGTAATAGCTCCAGATTGGAAACAACCCAAATGCCTTAAATGGCAAATAGTGAAACAAACTTTGGTATTTCCATACCATAGAATACTATGCAGTAATAAAAAAAGGAATTTACACATCAACTTGAATGGATCTAAAAGGAATTATGCTGAGCAAAAAAACACAGTATCAAAAGGTTATATACCTACCATATGCTCCCATTTATATAATATTCCTGAAATAACAAGCTTATAGAGATAAGAGAACAGATTAGTGGTTGCTAGGTGTCAGGGTTGGAATTGGGTGGGTAAAGCTATAAAGGAATAATGTGAGGGAACCTTGTGATAGAACAGTTTTATATCTTGATTGCAGTGGTTGTTATATGACTCTATACATGTAAGAAAATTGCATAGAGTTACACAAATAAGTGTATGTAAAACTGGTGAAATCTAAATAAACTCTGTAGACTATATTGATGTCCATTTCTTGGTTTGGTTATCGTACTATAGTTATGCAAGATGTTACCATTGGAGGAAACTGGGTGAAGGGTACATGGACCTCCTATACTATTTTTTTGAAACTTCCTGTGACTTTATAATTATTCAAATTAAGCAGTTTTTTTTAAAAGTAGAGGTATTCTTACCTTCCAAGAGGATTACTATTTCTCTGAGTAAACTGCCTACCAATATGTGCATTTTTCTATTAAGTATCACTGATATACTGCTTTTGTTCTTTCCCTATTAGGAAAACCTCCTGATGAGAATTCACTTCCACATTGCTGATGAAACCAAAGAGGATATATGTACTGCCCAACACTGCATCTCCCACCAGAAATTTGCAATGACATTGTTTGAACAGGTGAACCTTATCTCTGTCTACATCACTTCTTCTTCAGGAACACTTTATGCTGGGCTGTGGGGTGTTAGATGGGTGTTAAAACAACTAATGACTGTGGCTGCTTGGTTTTGCTTTTCTACCTGGGCCCAGTGTGTGTGTACTAGCTGTGGTGCCACTTCTGATCCGCTGCCTTTCATCCAGATGGTGCATTACATCTCCACTACTTCCCTTTGGTGAGTCTTAAAGGGTTCTCTGTTTGTACTCTTAGGTACTCCTTAAATGATTGAGTTTTCACTGACGGCATCCAAATAGCTTATATTTTTATTGTTAAGACTATGCTATGTTGTAGGAACTGAGAAAATAGCTTCAAAGTAACCTTTGTTCTTCTTCCCTCCTCTCCCAACCATCTCCTTTTCTTAGGTTCAGTTCTGGTCAGCAAGGTGGGAGGTGAAATGGGGATTCTATAAGCTTTGGATTTTGGGACAGGCGGAGGCGTTCATTGTGTTTGGGACACTGAAGCTGGTCAGGGCAAGGGGCTTTGATATAGTGGGCAGAAGAAGAAAATCAAACATGTGAGTTAAGAGTTTGTATGAATAATCTATTTGATTTAGTTGTAACTTTGGGTAACTCCTACCATCATTCCCTTCCATTCCCTATCTTGAAGCAATCAGGCTATTTGTATGCTGGAAAGGCGAGAAAAACCCTCACCAAGCATGTTTGGTGAGCTGCTGCAAAATGCCAGCACCATGGGAGATCTGCGGAACTGTCCGGTGAGTTAAGTCAGGGGTAAGGTTCAGAGTGGGGAGGGGAGCCCTAGGATTAGTGGAATTGAGGCAGAGCCAGTGGGAAACATCTCAAACTAGTCTTACATATGTATTTCAGAGCAACTGTGGAGAAAGGATTCGGATTCGCCGTGTGTTGATGAATGCTCCACAGATTATCACAATCGGGCTGGTATGGGACTCAGACCACTCAGACTTGGCAGAGGATGTCATTCACAGCCTGGGTACCTGCCTTAAGCTGGGTGATGTGAGTATTAGTTACCTTTATCTCTGACTTAGAGTTCTTGTGTCTTAGTATTGCTTAAGGGCAGTGAACACTAAACGCAAAGGTATATCCTAGATGACAAATATTGCAGAGTTTTGGACAAATATACTAGTTAATATGTGTACACATACATGTGCATGCATGTACCTGTTCACATACCTCCTTTGGGTAGGTGGCAAAGGCTTTTTAAAAAAATGGGATGACATTGGTCTTGAAAGACAGGATGGGCAGAGCTTCGCTACTGATAAAAATAAAGCAATTTACAGAGTTATTGTGTGCCCTACTCATTGTTTGTTGTAGAGTGGGGAAGTGTTTTCAACCACAGGTGGTAATAAAGTCAAAGAAGTGAGCAATCCTGACCAGAGCTGCTATGGCAGGTGGAGGGGTAAAAGTTGATGACCTGAGTTTTACAATACAGAATTTACAGTGAGGAACCAATGTCTGTTGAGAAGGTAATGAAGTAGCTTGGAAGAGAATTTAGTGGTTTAGTGGTTTTCTGTGCATCTATTCAGAGAAATAGGGAAAAAGACTTTAAGCCGGGGTCCTTAACCTTATCAGCTCCATATCTATACCTAGTATAGGTACAGTCAGGGTTTTCCTTCAGTTCAAGAGAAGAACCAGAAATTCTGTGGTTTCCTTTCTACTGGTTTCTTTCTCTTATGGTCCTGTGACTAAGGAGATCCCTTGTCATTCTTTAATGTCACTAAGCTACAACTGAGAATAAATGAACTATCTGGGATCTTATTTTAGGTCTCCTTCCCAAAGAATCTCTGACATGAGTAGGTTATACACCATTAAATCTCCTTTTTCTAAATTTCTGTAGTCTACATCTTCTGTATTGTTCTAGTTTTGTTTTATTTTTATGATGATTTTCTCATTCAAATAAGTTTCTCAAGGCAAATATCCTTTTCGTCAAATTTTTTTGTATGTCTCTTAGAACCTATGGCAGTGCTAGACATCCACGAATTGAAATGCTGATAACCAGCGTGGTGGTATTGCTCCTCCTAAGGGCATTTTTACCCCTTATTTAGTTAACCTTAGTTAGGGTCTCAGCAGGAAATTTATATTTGTGCACCAGTTGATAAGTAACTTTTGAAACCTTAGTGTTTTTGTTTTGTTTTGTGTTTTTCAACTTTCTGGGGTCTTATGGTAAGCATCAGCAATAAAATATTACTGAAAGTATGAAGAAACATCACCACCTTACCAGTTTACTGGCCGCTATCTGTCTTGCTTTTCCCTACATTTTGTCTTTTTAGGTTCATTTCTGATGATTAATATGGACTAGGGAAAATTTTAGACTGAAGAGTGGAGAAACAAGTCAGTACCTTAATAAGAAATGATGGAGTCTGCTGAGAGATGATGTGAGAGGGTTGAGTATGTGACTGTCTTTTCCGTTCTCTTTTTTCCCCACAGCTATTTTTCAGAGTGACAGATGACCGGGCCAAGCAGTCTGAACTGTACTTAGTAGGAATGATCTGTTACTATGGCAAACATTATTCTACATTCTTTTTCCAAACAAAAATCCGCAAATGGATGTATTTTGATGATGCTCATGTCAAGGAGGTAGGAATATTCAAGCCCTTCTTAAAGTGTTTGGTGACTGCAACAAAAAACTAAGGATAATTTCTTATCTTCTTGTCTTTAGTGTCTGTTTTCATAATTTTGATGTCTGTTTACCTGTCTATTGAATTTACGAGAGTGTCAGTCTTATCTTCTCCGAGTAGATGGCAAGTTCCTCAAAGATAGGATCAATATATTTTCTGTTATTTTCTCTGAATCTTCTCACCATGCAGTCAGCACAGGTCTGTGTTTATAGTTGACAAAGTGTGTTTTTTTTTTAATGTATTAATTGGTTGATTTGAGTGAAAACAGTTTAATGCTTCAAATTAGGTTAGAAGGTTAGCATGAAGTTCAGAATTTCAAACTTGGAATTATCAGTGGGTCATCCTTTGTCCCAGAGCTGCTATCAGTTATTCTCTGATTGTTACCTCCCTGAAGCCTTAACATGTTTTGGGGAGAGTGTAGAAAAAAATATGGGGCTATGAGGATATTTAAAGCTGGAACCTTGTTACTATCTGAATCACAGTCTGTGACTGAAGCAGTTAAGGTGATCTGCATGAGTTAGGAAGCTTCTTGAGATAAGGTTAGCAGCTAGGAGACTCCTGACTATAATTTATACGAATCCATGGACATTAAGCAGTGTCTTCTACAAATAGTAAAGTCTGTCAAATTTCCTGATTGTCTATCTCTTTTTTGCTGTTGTAGTTTTGGGCAATTTATATGAATTCCTTGAGCTTTAGCATTTTTATTTGAAAAATAATACTTGCCTTATAAGATATTAAATAAGATTTGTATGTAAAAAGGATATTTGTTTTAGTTAAAATAATAACTTAATTATAAATTTACTGAACATCTGTTATGAAATAAGCACCGTGGTCATTGTTCAGTTCTTAAGAGCACACCATCTCAGAATGTGACTGGTTCAAGTTTAAGAGAGGGTGAGTTTAGGGATTTGATTGGATTATTGTTTCCACGGCTCTTCTGTCACTCTTTTCCACTGCTTTGGCAGTGCTGAATCCAGCTCAGAGCTAAGGCCGAGGTTCAGCTGTCTATTCTAAGCAGTTTGACATTTTATGTCCTGCCATGTGTGAACTCTGAAATGGAATGTCATTTATTCTAAGGCAGTTTGTGAGAGAGTTTCTGCCTCCTCTTTAGCTTCATAAAAGTGATTTTAATATTTACGTGAAAATTATATAATTTATAGAATGATAGAATTGCAGATTTCAAGTAAGAGCTTTAATCTGTGAAAATAAATTGATCATCAAGGCAGCTGAAGTCCCCTCACATAGCATATTCACCTTTGAGGACTTTTATTTATATTTCACAACTGAACTGATGTTTCACAGGAATAAAAGTAATTTTATTCATCATTCCTACCTCTTACAGGGTTTTACTGCTTTCTAAAAGGATTTAACAACAATAACAAAAGACTTAAAAAAAATTTATGAAATTTAGGTCTAAGGTCTCTTTTGTGGTCTCTTTACCCAATTTTTGTCTTTTTATCTTATTTTCTTTAGAAAAACCGAGTAGGAAGATATGTTTTGAGTTGTGGATATGAAGTATAACTGTCATGTTCTTCTGATTGTTTCTGGTTCAGATTGGGCCTAAATGGAAGGATGTGGTGACCAAATGCATCAAGGGGCATTATCAGCCTTTGCTACTGCTTTATGCAGACCCCCAGGGAACCCCAGTGTCCACCCAGGACCTGCCTCCCCAAGTTGAGTTCCAGTTATACAGCAGGACATGCTATGATAGTGAAGATTCAGGTGAGCAGTCTAGCTCTTTACCTCTTCCTTCTCCCTTCCAATGTGTCCATTGGACAGTTAGGACTCACACTTAATCATGAGCCTAGCACATAGCCTAGCTTGTAGAAAGAGGATCCATTAGAGATGGAAAGAAGTGCCAACTCGTGCTGAAGCCCAAGGTGTGCCAGGCTTTGTTTCCTTCGGCCTTCAAGAATGTGTTGTCTGTCATCTGGCCCTGATTCAAAAGTGAGAGGGCAATTAGGTTGATTTAGCCTGAAGTGATAAGTTTATGAGGGAGACTCAGTGTTTAACCTTCTAATAATGGTAAGATGACTGATTCTTACTGTCAATTTAACAGTGACTTCACTGAATTGTTAAGACCAAGAAAAATTATACTTACTACAAAACTAGTCATTTCGTTTGGGATAAGAGATTTTTGTTTTAAAATGCCAAGTGTAATAGCAGTATTCTGCAGCCCATGAATCAGTTTTTCACTTCTAATTCAATTGTTTGCAACTTAAATCATGTTTTCCTATAGAAACAATTTGCAGCCTGATGGCTAAAGTCTCAGGTTAGCTCATAGAGGCATATAATATATTAGAAATATAACCCTAATGGTTTTGGCTTGATTTCTGAAAAGGGGGAAAAAGAAATATTCTTTTCCTCTTCTAGATCTAGGACTGTTCCGGAGTATAATTTTGAGGGAGAAGATGCTTGTCCTTGGAATTTTTTCCCTCCCTTTTGTGCCTCCCTCCTACTTGGCACCTGGTGTTCTTCCTAACCATGTACCTACCCAGACCTGCTCTACTTTTTCTCCCTTGAATCAAACACCCATTTCCACTTTTGTGCTTATCTCAGCAAGTTGTTCCGAGAAAAGTAGTCTGGTTGAACTAATTTACTCTAAAGTATAAATAACAGTCCTGGGGCACCTGATGGCTCAGTCATTAAGTGTCTGCCTTCAGCTCAGGTCATGATCTCAGGGTCCTGGGTTCAAGCCCCGCATCAGGCTCCTTGCTCAGTGGGAGGCCTGCTTGCTTCTCCCTCTCCCACTCCCCCTGCTTGTGTTCCCTCTCTCACTGTCTCACTCTCTCTGTCAGATAAATAAATAAAATCTTAATAAATAAATAACAGCCCCATAATTTCTCATATTAAAAATGCTTACAATGTCAATTAAATTTTTTAAAGTGACATTTTTGGCAGTATAGGAGAAAAATTATGGGATGGGAAGCAACTGGTTATGTATGCCAGGTCGGCCTGGGACTCTCCATCTAAATAGATCTTATTTTTCACAACTTTTTCCTTTCTTCCACTTTTCCCCATAGGTTTTCTAAAAGCCCCACAGTTTTTCACAGTGGCAGGCAAAGTGAGGGCTTCAGCAAGGTAGGGGCAGGAGTGGGAGGAATTGTTTGTGTGTCTGGGTTATCTGGAAGTTGGGTGTTGGGAAGAATGGCTCTGGTATATCCTTCTCACCCTTCCATCTAGGAAGTTCTTGCCTTATGGACCTTTGTTGCCATCCAACTCTTTGCCTTCTCTCTATCACTGTCCTCTCTTTCCTTACTTTTGCATATGTGTCTCCTCCTTCCCTTAGGGAGGGAGCCCTCCATCTCAAGTGACACTCGAACAGATTCCTCAACGGAGAGCTATCCCTACAAACACTCCCACCATGAGTCTGTGGTCAGTCACTTCTCTTCTGATTCTCAGGGGACAGTCATCTATAATGTGGAGAATGATTCCACGTCTCAGAGCAGTCGGGACACAGGTAGGGAGTGAACCCTGCTTGCTTGATTCAGTTCCTGCATGGAAATTCTCCCAGGAGAAAGAAACTGGGGCAAGTCAGAAATGTTGGTCATGCAAAGGGAGAAAGGCACAGAACTTGGGTAATTGGGTGGGATGAAAAGAAGCAACACAACTCTGAATGAACGATGATATTCCATTACACATATTCCTATCAACACCAGCATATCAATAAGGATGATTGTAATGTGATTATTGATGTGATTGCTTATTCCAAAATCTGCTTTTTGTTCCTGTTATATTTTTGATCCTTGTCTTTCTCAGAGTGTCCCAAAAAACCTTTGTGGTCTTGCATCTCATCATGTTTTCATGATAGGCTTTTTCCCAAGTGGAGGGCTTTGAGAGAAGGGGGCATATTTATGGCCATGGGATACTTGCTCATCACCTTGCTGGGCTTCCTCAAGGACAGAAAAGCAAAAGAAAGAAAGCTAGCCTGTTTATTATTGTGAGTTCCATGCAGAGAACTTTCTTGAGCTGTTCTGATCATCTGTAGAAAAATGTGCCTGTTGTCAGTGGAAGAAATCAATACCGGACATGAAAGGAAGAACAGTGAGTGACTCACCGCGGAGACGGAAAGTGTGTCACCTAACCCACAGAACAGTGCCCGTACTCCTAGAGACTTGGGAGTTAGTGAGCGCATAGCTTCAGACTGGTGGTTCCTACTCTGTGCTTGACTATTTTTTTTTAAGTTTTTATTTAAATTCCAGTTGTTTAACATACAGTATAATATTAGTTTCAGGTGTACAATATAATGATTCAGCCCTTGTCGTACAACACCCGGTGCCCATCACAATGAGTGCGCTCCTTAATCCCCATCACCTGTTTCACCCATCCTCGCCCACCTCCCCTCTGGTAACCGTCAGTTTGTTCTCTTCAGTTAAGACTCTATTTCTCGGTTTGCCTCTTTCTTTTTTCCCCCTTTGCTCATTTGTTTTGTTTCTTAAATTCCACATATAAGTGAAGTCATACGGTATTTGTCTTTCTCTGACTGACTTATTTCATTTAGCATAATACTGTCTATTTCCATCCATGTTGTTGCAAATGGCCAGATTTCATTCTTTTTTATGGCTGAGTAATATTCCATAATAGCCAAGAAGATATGGTATCTTCTTTATACATTGGCTGTTATGGAACATTATATATACATGTACATTATATATATATTGGCTTTATACATTGGCTATTATGGAATATTATGTATACATATATACACATATATATACATACAATCACATACATACATATATATGGATAAAGAAGATATGGTATATCATACCTGTGTGTGTGTATGTGTATGATATACCATATCTTCTCTATCCACTCATCAGTTGATGGACACGGGCTGTTTCCATAATTTGGCTATTGTAGGTAAGGCTGCTGTAAACATCAGGGTGCATGTATCCCTTTGAATTAGTATTTTTATATTCTTTGGGTAAATACCTTTTAAAAAAATATAGGGAATTTTAAACATTTTCAGAAGTGTACAGAATAGTATACTGCCCCTCCATAGACTCATCGCCTAGTGTCAGTAATTATCACTCATGGCCAATCTAGTTTTATCTGTACCTCTACCCACTCCCCCTACTCCTGGATCATTTTGAAACAAATTCCAGATATTGTTTCACTTCCATAAATATTTGTAGTATGTATCTCTAAAACAAGAAATCATTTTTGTCATTATCACACTTAAAAATATTAATAATTCCTAAAAACCACTAAATAACCAATGAGTGTTCAAACACACAAATATCTTATAAATTTCATAATTTTTTAATGGTTTATGTGCCTTGATTCTGAATCCAAGCGAGGTTTATACATTGGGACAGATTGCTAAGTCTTTTATGTTTCTTTTAAACTGTAGGTTTCTCTATTTTTCCTTGCAGCTGATTGTTGAACAACTAGGTAGTTTGTCCTATAGATTGCCCACATTCTGAAGTTTGCTGATTGTATTCCTATAGTAAACTCTAGCATGTTTCTCTGTTCTCTGTATTTCTTGTAAATTGGCAGTTGGATCTAGAGGTTTGGTTAGATTCACATTGGATTTCTTTTGATGACTATTGCATAGATGACTACTGCAAAGTGCGATTTTTTTTTTAAGACTGTATTTCTAAAACTGTGAATCAGGGAGAAGCCAAATAACAGGATAAACAAGGCATATTTTCCAGGAGAGTCAGGCTTATGTTAAAGGTTTGTGGATGGTTGGGGGTAGGGGAGCATACTCCCATCGGTTTAACATTTGCAGATTTAGTTGCTCCAAGTGATTTCCTCCTTTCTGAAATCTTTCTTTTGGGCCCAGAGGTAGCAAAAGATCAGATAAAAGCAATAAAAGATTACATTGGGGGGTGCCTGGGTGGCTCAGTCAGTTAAGCGGCTGCCTTCGGCTCAGGTCACGATCCCAGGGTCCTGGGATCAATCCCCACGTCGCTCGGCGGGGAGTCTGCTTCTCCCACTCCCTCTGCCTGCTGCTCTGCCTACTTGTGCTCTCTCTCTACCTCTCTGTCAAATAAATAAATAAAATCTTTAAAAAAAAAAGATTACATTGGTAATTTCTTGAAAATAGGTAGCCATATCACTACACTGCTAACACCTAAATATGTACAAAAATTTTCATATACTAACATATAAAAACAAATTAGCTCTTGGTGCATTTGAGAACCTAGAGGATTTTCTCTAAACCTGTTTTCTAATTTAATTCAGTTGCTTAATTCACCTTTGGCTTCCAGCAGTTTAGATGATTATATCCTTTAGAATCTGACCTTGGCTGTTATCAAATCATACATTTACATCCTGTGGGCATGAAGCAGGGCAAGTTATGTAAAAGAGCCCAAATCTCCTGGGCTTCCCAGAGATCAGTACTGAGGAATTATGAGGTGTAATCTCTGGGTGAAGCCAGGTTTGGTAAAGCACTCATTGGGGATGGGAATGAGAATTATTCAAAGTTCAAATGTCCTTTTAAATGATTCACATTTAAGGAAGATTTAGAACTGAATTTTAAAGCCACCCACAATCAGAGCTCTTGTGGGCAAAGGCTGGGGCACCTGGGCCAATACCAGATGTAATGAAAATGAGGCTTTGCTTGGTATGTGTTGCTAAACGAAAGGAAAGCTCTTTTAATTATGAGTGAAAAAATGTTGATTACATGACATTTTTATACATCTTTAAAACTGTCACCTTTTAAAAATTACCAAGTAATGTGTCCTTCTGGGTCACTGGGAAAGATTACGAACAGGATCAAGACTGGTAATTGCTCAGGAGGCATTGTAAATTTGCAAGCTCCCATTAAATACTTGAGCTTCTCTGCATTTATCTATTGAGTGATTCTTGCTATGCTTAAATCAGATAGTCTCGGCCCCTACAGCTTTTGATTCATGGGTATACTAAATTTGTGGCATTGCTATAAATCCCAAAGGGAGACTAGGTTCTCAAGAGGATGGAGGTCAGTCTCAGATACCAGCTTACCCCCATTTCCTTGTTCTTTCAGGTCACCTGACTGATAGTGAATGTAATCAGAAACTCACATCCAAGAAAGGGTCACTGATAGAACGCAAGAGGAGCTCTGGCCGGGTTAGGAGGAAAGGCGATGAGCCACAGGCCTCGGGGTACCACAGTGAAGGCAAGCCACTCTGCACTGTTTTTCTTTCTTCATTCACTCTGGCAAATTGTGTCATACTCCAGACTGGCTTTTCCGTTCTGCTTTCACATGTTGGGGTCTGGGTATCTATGATCATTTTAAACATTTGTGTTTGTTTAATTCTTTGTGTTTTTAGGAGAAACACTGAAAGAGAAACAGGCTCCTAGGAATGCCTCTAAACCATCCAGCAGCACCAATAGACTAAGAGATTTTAAAGAGACAGTTAGCAATATGATTCACAACAGACCATCCCTGGCTTCTCAGACCAACCTAGGATCTCCCTGTGTGGGGAAGGGAGGAGACCAGACTGACAAAAAGCCTCCTAGGAACCTGTCTTTACACTCTCGTGACTGGGAAGTAGAGAGTACCAGCAGTGAGTCAAAATCCAGTTCTTCTAGCAAGTATCGTCCAACGTGGAGACCCAAACGGGAGTCTCTGAATATTGACAGTATCTTTAGTAAGGACAAAAGGAAGCATTGTGGCTATACCCAGCTTAGCCCCTTTTCTGAGGATTCAGGTGAGGAGATAATTAGGGAAGAATTGGGCTTTTGAATAAAGTTGACTTATGTATTTGTTTTTCTGGTAGACTAATAAGCAAGGTACATTTTTATGCTGATGTTGAGATTTTTGGAGATAGGAGTTCAGTGAAGGAGTAGCTGGAGGGAGGGGTTGGTTATGTCTTAATTTGAGGCAGATGCTAAATCTACCTCCTTTTCCATACTTGTCCTTTGATCGGGATAGCTAAAGAATTTACACCAGATGAACTAAGCAAGCCACCTGCTTACGACCTTAAAACTGGTGGACCAAGCCCCCAATACAAGCCCTGGGGCCCAGCACGGCCAGGCTCTCACCTTTTAGAACAGCACCCTCGCCTAATACAGCGAATGGAATCTGGCTATGAGAGCAGTGAGAGGAACAGCAGCAGCCCTGTCAGCCTGGATGCAGCCCTGCCTGAGAGCTCCAGTGTCTGCAGGTATTGTTTGGCCTTTGGATAGTGGCATTGTCCCTTACGGCAACGTGAGCCACCAGGAGGCTTTTCAACTCAGATGGGTGGAGAAATGGACTTCATTACCATCTTGTGGGCAAAATATTTTACTTTATCAACTTTCTTTCTTTTTTTAAAAATTGATATAAAGTTGGTATGCTATGTTATATTAGTTTTAGGTGTACAACATAGTGATTGGACAATTCTGTATATTATACTATGCTCACCGCAATAAATGTGGTTATCATCTGTCACCATAGAATATTTTTACAATATTATTGACTATATTCTCTATGCTGTACTTTTTATCCCCGTGACTTATTTATTTTATAACTGGAAGTTTGTACCTCTTAATCTCCCTCAGTTATTTCACCCTTCCCCTAACCTTCTTTCCTCTGGCAACCACCAGTTTGTTTTTGTATTTGTGATTCTATTTCTGTTTTTTATTTCTTTGTTCATTTGTTTTGTTTTTTAGGTTCCACATATAAGTGAAATCATACAGTATTTGTCTTTCTCTGACTTATTTCACATAGCACAACTGTACCCGCTGGGTCCATCCATGTTGTCGTAAATGGAAAAATTCCATTCTTTTTTATGGCTCAGTAATATCCCATTGTGTATATATACCTTATCTTCTTTTCCATTCATCTCTTAGGACGGTGCTTCCATATCTTGGCTGTTGAAAATAATGCTGTGATAAACATGGGGGTGCTCTGTCAACTTTCTATGACAACAGCACCCTCTGCTGGAAGAAGGAGCAAAGACATTTGAGAAAGGAGAGAACTTTATTATAAGTAAAATAATCATTTAGCAAATAACTTGTAATGGAAGAATTAGTGAATCAAAACATAGTTCTATGCCCAGAGAGAAAATACAGCTGTTTTTTATTCTTTTATTTAGGATAGTTTCCTTTTTTTTAAGGGTCACAGGGATTCTGTGTTTTATAAGCCAATGATATTCATACTTACAAAAGATAACAATGATGATTTATTTTTATTTATTTTTTAAAAAGTTTTTTATCTTTATTTGAGACAGAGGGAGACAGAGCACAAGCAGAGGGAGCGGCAGGCAGAGGGAGCGGCAGGCAGAGGGAGAAGCAGGCTTCTGCAGGGAGCCCGATGCAGGACTCGATCCTAGGAGCCAGGGATCATGACCCGGGTGGAAGGCAGATGCTTAACTGACTGGACCACCCAGGCATCCCAACAATGATGATTTAATAGTGCTCATTGTTCCTGTTCATAGGGCCCAGTTTGCTTTATAAATTTAAGATCTTCATATATTGTTTGTACTGAGTTGCTACAGAGGCAAGTTTCTTAACAGAGTGGCTGCTTTGCAAAGAGTGATTGTATCTTCTACAAGGGTGATAATCACATCCTCATATTTTCCCACTGCTTATCCCTTGACATGGGATCCAGAATTGTCCAATCACCTGTTGAGGTTTACACATGAGAAGATGGCTACAGAGGTATAAGAAAGAGGAAGGCAATTCATATGTGAGCTTATATTTATTAATTCATTAAATAAATTTTGTGCCAGATACTGTGCTAGATGCACAAAATGTGAATGAGGTGAGATAAGATGGGGGAACTACTTTCAGAAGTAGTTTAGCAGATACTTTACATATTAGTTTGATGTTTTATTGTTTTTTTTAAAGATTTTATTTATTTATTTGAAGATTTTATTTATTTGTCAGAGAGAGAGAGAGAGTGAACACAAGCAGGGGGAGCAGCCGGCAGAGGGAGAAGCAAGCTTCCCGCTGAGCAGAGAGCCTGACATGGGGCTCAATACCAGGACCCTGAGATCATGACTCAAGCTGAAGGCAGATGCTTAACTAACTAAGCCACCCAAGAACCCCTGTTTTATTGTTTTTTGAGGGAATTTAGTCCTACGAACGTTGCAAGTTATCACCCTTCTGATGTTTTCACTAAACTCTGGTTTGTCTTTTGAAGGGATCCAAGTGCTAAGAGATCAGCTGGGTTGGCACCTTCCTGGCGTCACATCCCAAAGTCTCACAGCAGTAGCATACTGGAGGCAGACTCCATAGCATCCAGGAGTAGCTGGACAAAGAATCAGCCCCTCTCAGGTAAGCAGAAAGACACTGGATTTGGAGGAGTGGATTTGACTGCCAATTCTATTTGGAAAATAGCCTTACCTGAGCACATTTGAAATTAGAGGACAGTTGTACTTTAAGTTTTCCATCAGTGGAAAGCATTTGAGCCATTCTATCTTTGGATTTATCTATCTTTTGTTCTTCATCATGGCTTGCCTGATTGTTCTTTACAACTTGGGGAGAGCCCTTGTGGGAATAAGAAGGAACAGAAATATGGTGAACAGTGTCAGTAGCACCTGCAATCCTCAGAAGAATAAGTTCTCAGGTTTTTCCCCTTGGAATAGAGGAAGCCTCATGAGAATGGATTTCTTTTTTTTTTTTTTAATGTTTTGTTTATTTATTCATGAGAGTCAGAGAGAGAGAGGGAGGCAGAGGCAGAGGGAGAAGCAGGCCCCCCGCCCAGCAGGGAGCCCGATGCGGGGCTCGATCCCAGGACCCTGGGATCATGACCCGAGCTGAAGGTAGATGCTTAACCATCTGAGCCACCCACGTGCCCCGAGAATGGATTTCTTATTGTTTAGTTCTATGAGTTGAGATGACAAAGGGAGACATGAAGGCTATGGGCATAACTGGGGAATAAGTAAGTCAAACCTATTCTTATCCTGGCCAGTACCCCTGTTTTCTTTTCCCTTCTTGAGTGTGCCTGTGTCCTCATCCTCCCTCATACTCCCACCTCCCTTTTTTTTTAAGAGCGCGTGAGCAGGGGGAGAGCAGAGGGAGAGGGAGAGAGAGTCACTTGAGCGCTGAGCTCGATCTCACTGACCCTGAGATCAGGACCTGAGCCGAAACCAAGAATCGGACGCTTAACTGACTGCACCACTGAGGGGCCCCTTGATCCTATCATTTTAGTCTGGCACAGAACAAAAAATTTTATCTGGTAATTTTGATCATTCTTTTAAAAAATTATGGAAGTAAAAATAAGTCCAACAGTTTAGTAACCTGCCCTTTCCCTCATCAGGGTATTTTTCCATGCCTATACAAGTATATAGATAAGTTTATTACCACCATTTAAAAAAAAAAAATGAACGCTTGGGTGGCTTAGTCAGTTAAGTGTCTGCCTTCAGCTTAGGTCATGATCCCAGGGTCTGGGATCGAGTCCTGCATCAGGCTTCCTGCTCAGCAGGGAGCCTGCTTCTCCCTCTGCCTGCTGCTCTCTCATGCTCTTTCTCTGACAAATATATAAAATCTTTAAAAAAAAAATGAAGTCATAGTATACATATTATTCTGTCACTTGATTTTTCACTTAATATATCATAGACATCCTTTTAGGTCTATTTGGTTCCATCAATAGACATTTATAAAATTGAATTTTTACTGGATATTTTACAAACTTTTTTTTTAAATAATTTTTTATTGTTATGTTAATCACCATACATTACATCATTAGTTTTTGATGTAGTGTTCCATGATTCATTGTTTGTGCATAACACCCAGTGCTCCACACAGAATGTGCCCTCTTTAATACCCATCACCAGGCTAACCCATTCCCCCACCCCCCTCCCCTACAAACTTTTTTTGTTTTAAGATTTATTTATTTTTAGAGAGAGCAAGCGGGTGGGGGAAGGGCAGAGGGAGACGGTAGAGAATCTCAAGCAGACTCCAAGCTGAGCGCAGAGCCTGCCACGGGGCTCAGTCTTTTAACCCTGAGATCATGATATGAGCCGAAACCAGAGTCCAACACTTCAGTGATGGAGCTACCCAGGCGCCCCTACAAACTTTTTTTTATTGGATATTTTACAAACTCTTTAAAGAGATGTTGGGGAAAAAAAAAAAAGAGAGATGTTGGAAGTCCAAGAAATTGACTTGCTTGAAGATTCCCAATGAGTTAGTGGCAACACATAGCTGAGTGCTGTCTAATGGTTAAGAGCATGGATTATGAATTTAACCTATTTGACTTTAGTTCAGCTCTACCATTTACCATCTTTGTCACCTTAGGCAAGTTATTTATTCTCTTTGTGTCTCTGTTTCTTCATTCCTAAATGTGGGCAATAATAGTATCTACTTCATAGGTTGTCATGAGAATTAAATGAAATAATATATGTAAAAGTGCTTAAAACTGTGTAAATACTCAACAAATGTTAGTTTTCACATTGTTATTGTTGTAATAAAGCCACTTAATAAATATTTTACCATCATCATTATAATTCATAGCCCAGATTTCACCCTGAATCTAATGTGGAAAGCACTGTCCAAAACATGAACTCCAAATTGAATCAAGAGTTCCAAAGGAAAGGCAGTACAGTGGCCATAAATGCAGCAGGTGCCTAGTCTTAATTATGGAAATGTGACAATTTCTCTTCTCCCTTGCTTGTGTTCAGGTGGGGAGATATCTTCCAAAAGCGAACTGGATGAACTGCAGGAGGAAGTGGCCAGGAGGGCCCAGGAACAGGAACTTCGAAGGAAACGGGAGAAGGAATTAGAGGCAGCTAAAGGGTTTAATCCTCATCCCAGCCGCTTCATGGACTTGGATGAACTGCAGAATCAGGGTAATTGTTGTGAGCATAGGTTGTGGGTGATGGGGATAGAGAGAGAGGCAAAAAAATTTTCAGGTTTGTAAATTCCTGTCTTCTATTTAGCTAAGTTGTATTTTATCATAATTCACTCATTTTAGTGAGAACTAGTGAAAGTAGGAGGTGACAAGCCTACTGATTGGAAGACAGGCACTGATTTGGGGCTCATCTATTGAAAGTCTATAGTTTAGAGATAGTATATTATTCATGAAAAATATTTCCCGTGAATATCTATAGAAGGTGTAAATAAAACTAGTCACCATTCAGAAACAACAGAACAGGGCAGTGAGTGAGCGATACTGATGAGGGAAATTCTACTTGCTGGGCAGAAATATACCCTTGAAATTGCCCACCTGGAGCTTCAAGGAAGTAGGTCTACCAAGTGGGTTCTAAGAACACAAAGCTTGATTTTCTTTTGATCCTCTGATGACTCATTTCCCAATCTCATACAATTTTCATGGACTTTACAAGGCTTCCCCAACTGCGCCACACTAGTTACTTTCTTCCTTCAATTGCTTTAGGATGTCCTTTTGTACCAGAAGAGACTAGTCTTCAAAATAGGAGTTTAAAAAGACTGAGGTATATACCTTAAATAGACTCCTGAAACTTACATCTCTGTTTTTCTTTCTATGAAATGAATTTTTTGTTCTGATTATTCAGAATCCCTAGATGTAACAAATTATGCTACAGCAGTGCAAAGAATAGGAGTCAGTCAGTGCTGTTTTGGGTCGTTGCTTTCTTGCTGACCACTTCCTACTTTTTGTCAACACTTAGAGAAGCTTAGTGGGCTAGTTTGGGGCCTATTTGGGGACCATTTTTCTCCTCTAAGCCTACTGTCTTTTGATTTGAGGCAATTGTTGCTTTATATTTCCCGAGGCACTGTATCTGTTTCCAAATTAGTTTTAAATTCCTAGTTCCTTAGTTGTCCCTATATTTGGATAGTCTTCTCTTCCTTTTCATCCTCAAGCTATGTCACATTTGGATCTCAGGTTTATATTGTTTCTGAAGGAGGAGTCTTGTCATCTCCTTCCCTTCCCTTTTTCCCTTCCTCTGTTAATTGGGCAGTACATGAAAGTTGAGAGAGAATCCTTCCGGCCACATTTCATTGTCAATTCTCCATATACTTTGGTTCACAATCTCCTGGAAGAGCAAGGATTGGAGTACTAAGATTCTAGAAGATAAGAATTAAAATCTAGTATAGTGATTGATCAACTATAGTCTGCCTGTATATCTATAGAGAACTTTTTTTGTTTTAATGGCTCTCACTACCATCTCTGATTATAAAGATTTTATAGATTTAGTTGATGTCAAATATTATGAGAAAACTTTAGGCCTGGAGGGTGGGGTACCCATATCTCTTGACAGACCTGAATGCCCAGTTCTTCAGAGCCAACTTACTACTTCCACTGCCTTCCCATTGCTCTCTAAAAACCCCAGTGAATTAGGGAGTGAATGTTAGGGGTTTGGAAGAGCCTTTCTTACCATGTCCAGCTGGAGGTAAGTGGAGGATGGGGACATTATGAGAGAAATGACTCTGACATTCTGATATTTTTTCTTGTGAGCTTGTGAAAACTCATCATTAATCCCAGTCATGGGTGAATTTACAATATGGCTTACTACCAATTTATGGTTATGAGTGAGTAAAAGCCAAGGGGGTACATAAACTTGAGTGTTCTTTTACAAAAGTTGCCCTTACAGTACTTTCTTGCTTTTTCATCTGGCACTGTTCTTGAACTCTTTTGTGCCTGCTTCAGTAGACATTTGCTTTCAGAGGAGGAAGGAATATTTCACTCTCACTGTATGGGAAAGTGACTTTTGCAGTCAGTTTGGCGGGCAAGGGTATGATGAGAGAAGATACTTAGCACTGCTGATGAAAAGTGTGTGCTTGCAAACCAACAACAAGGGCTGTTCAACTGCCTTGGTAGATATATTGAGGTTAGGAACTATAGAGCACCTGTGCCCAAGAGGTGTACTAACTTTCCAGCTGAGGGTGGCACAGAGAGGACTGTGAATTGATGTAGGAAAGAAGTTTTACAGATGGCTTTCCACAGAGTCGTGAAGCCACTTTTGCCTTAACATAACAGTAGAGGTCTCCATGGAGGTCGGGGACATTCTGACACTGGTTGGTAAGATGTATCTTGTTGCACTGTGGAAAAACAGATCAGTTCCAGGCATAAGAATCTACCCTTCTGCCGTAGACAATATTCTGTTCTTTTCTTGAGGGTCCCCTTAAGAGCTCTAGGAATTGTAGTATGTGGTGGATAATGACATACTCCTCTTTCATGGCCTTGGCAATGTCTTGGTTAAGGCAAAAACAGATGTCCTGCATGTTTCAGAGAATTCTTCATAGTAATGGAGAGTTAGAATAAGGGTAGATCAAAGGCTCAGCAGCAAGGAGCTAGGTGCACTGAAGGGAAACATCACTACATAGAAAAAGTTGGAACGAACTGTAATGAAAATGAAAAGTGCTGGCCCTTTCAGGGAGGAGTGACGGCTTTGAGAGGTCCTTGCAAGAGGCAGATTCAGTATTTGAAGAGTCGCTGCATCTGGAACAGAAGGGAGACTGTGCTGCAGCTTTGGCTCTCTGTAACGAAGCTATCTGTAAGTAACTCTAACTGCTAGCGCTATGGCAATTTTGACTAACTTCGGGATAGGTATCATTAGAGTCATCACTCAGATGGGATGGAAACAGCTTTTTTGTCTCCTCACTGTCACTCTCCCAAACTGAGGTCCTTTAGGCTATCTTTGCCCTTCAGATTTCTAAGTGTGCCACATGCTGTCATGTGGCCTATGGATATTTACTGGAATAACCTCAGCCGGAGTCCATAGATGAACTATCCAGCCATGCTTACTTTCTTATCCCAAGATAAAGTTAGACCTCAGATTTGAGGTTAGTCTGCTCTTTCTCTAGTTACTGACTAGCTAGGTGGAGCTTATGGCAAGAAGAAATGAGTATATTGACCTCGACTTCCCAGGCCTGTGACTTTGCACAGCATATTTGATTCATGTTTCTCCCCTGCTTTCCTGGTATGCTGCACCATAAAGTTACAGTGAAGGACTAAGGCTTAGAATTTGTATCTGGTTCTTAAATGTGACCCACAAGAAGCTGTGTTCTGTAAAGACAGATGCAGATTTGGATCTTATTTCTGCTGTTGGCTGTCGGGAAGGGGAAGTTGGGAGCAAAGTGTGGAGACCAGAGTCGGACAGGTCAGTTGCAAAGGACGAGAGTGGCAGTCTCTAAGATGGAAGCACCAGTTTCTCTTCCTGACTCATTTTAGTTTAACTTTTTGTTTTTTTTTTTTTTAAATTTGAATTAACCTGTTTGGCCTCCATGGCTTCCATGAATGCTCCTTAGAGCCAGAGCCAGCTCTTTACCCTGGACAGTATGTGCATGGTCCACGCCTTGCATTCCTGCTGCATATTTTGAGTTTTACTGCATATCTTTGCTCATTTTTGGTTCAATTTTATTTTTATTTTTGTTTGTATTTTGTGTTCTGTTTCTGCTATATTTTCTTTTGCATTTTAGCTAAACTAAGACTTGCCCTGCATGGTGCCAGCTCTAGCACGCACAGCAGAGCCCTAGTCGATAAGAAGTTGCAAATCAGTATTCGAAAAGCACGGAGCCTGCAGGAGCGCATGCAGCAGCAGCAATCATCGCCGCGGCCGTCGCAGCCCTCAGCCTGCCTCCCCTCGCAGGGGGCAGCCCTCCCTCAGCCAACAAGGTAGTGCCTGGGATCCACTGTAGTTTATGGACACCAGGGGAGGAAATGATCATGGGTGCTCCATGGTCAGAGCTCTCTTTGTTTTGGTGACTGCAGGGGACAGAGAAGAGTCCTCTGGAAAGATTTTCTTCTCAGGTCAGACATACACCAGAAAAAGCTCATCCCACTGCTGGTCCTTTCCTTAATAGTTCCTAGAATGATACAGAAAGTATGGCATAATAAATAGACTGTTTGTCCATATTTCCTGTGGGTGAGTTTGTCCCTGGACTTGTGTAACAACATGATTATTAAATCTGTACATATTATGTTCTCAGACATGGCAATCGGAGCTCTATTGCAATAGAAACCATATGGTTTGTTTTGGGGATTTCAGTGCTTCCTGTCCTTGGTGGAAGCTGAGAAAGCAGGCTTTGCTCTGACTGAACCACAGAGAAGAGACACAAAGATTCCCTTTGTTTTGCTTTGCTATGGGCAGCAATAGGAAAAAAGGCCCCGGGGGCCATTGGTGTAGTTTTCACACTTTAGTTCTTGAATTTGGTTCTATTTATAATACATAGATTTAAGTTAAAATTAATTTTGGCTGCTAATAGGCCTAAGTAGTTCTCAGAATATAAATATTATAAAAACAGCTAACATTTATTGAACATTTTTTAAAAAAAGAGATTTTATTTATTTTTAGAGAGAGAGAGAGCAAGCTAGAGCTGGGGGAGGGCAGAGGGAGAGGGAAGAGAGAATCTCAAGCACACTCCACAATGAATGCAGAGCCCAGCGCGGGGCTCGATCCCACCACTCCAAGATCATGACCCGAGCTGAAACCAAGAGTCAGACGCTCAACTGACTGAGCCACCCAGGCACCCCATTTATTGTCCAGGCACTAAGCTAAACACTTTAATTCTTGCAGTAACCTTAGGAGATAGGTTCTGTCACTTAGCGATATTTTATAAAGCTCAGGGTGTATAAAATACATAAGGTACCCAAGAGTGCTCAGCTAGTAAGTGGTAGAGGTGTGGACTTCAAATCCAGGTCTGTTTCACTCCATTAGGTCTGCTCCATAAGTATAATGATATATTCTTCATAATGTTGTAAGGGTAACTGGGTGACTATACCCACAAAAGTTGATAGTATATTATCATTCAAATTTAATGCTAATAGCTAGGATCTTCCTTTTTCTTCATTTCTCTTACAGTATAACTAGTAGTTGTATGCTGATCTGAGAATCTGATGAGAGATATGTTTTGAATGTAAGCTATTTAGGCAGCTAAACTCTTTCTAGAAAACTTACACCACTTGATGTATGTGAGTAATTGAGGCTTTTATTTAAGTGCTTCTAACACTGAGTTTTTTTAGGTCAGAAATACAAAACAATTAGTAAGAAGCCTAGTAAATGCAATTAATTTCTAGTCTTACTCCCAAATCTCAAGAGAGTCACAGTGCATTACTTTGGGAAAATATCTCAGTGAATAATGCAACCAAATCCAGATTATGAAAACACACTTGAAGTGGTTGCATTCTGTGTAATCTCATGAACCCAAATTACCCTGTACTCTGTAAATGTGCCTTTTGGTTCTTTTGGCTGGTCTGCCTCTCAGGACCCCAGGTATGAGTGATTTTCTAGGCTTTGCTTACCTTCCATGTCATCTGCATGTGGGATTAGCAATTTTTGTTTTTTAATTTGCAAGAAGAATATGATTGGAATGGGACTTCAGAGGCAGTGAAGAATATTGACAAGGACTTCACTTAATATTACTGTGTGCAGCTTTAGTGAGGGCATTTAATAAAGAGGATCAATATTACCTCTTGCTTGGGTGTGAGCTGACCATGTGCCTGCCTTCTCTTGTGAACCTCTGAACTCTTGACTCTTACTTGTGCTTGTCTTTCTATTTATTTTTTACCATTCCTTTTGTGGATGGCTAGAAGTGGGAACCAAATGAACAGGTCTTTTTGTAAGTGATCTTGTCATTTAAGGCAGCTTATGACTGGTTCTCTCCATTTATTTCAGTGAACAGCCTATCCCGCTCCAAGTATTGTTAAGCCAGGAGGCTCAACTGGAACCCTGCACGAATACAGAGTTTGGGGCCAGTTCTTTCATCCACTCACCTGCTTCCTGCCATGAGTCACACTCATCACTATTCCCAGAGTCATCTGCCCTGTCTGCCTCACAGCACAATTCCCCTAGTAGGTCTGCCTCAAACCTTCTGACTTCAGTTGAGGAGGACAGCATCGACCCCTATGCACTCCACAGGCAGGCCTTACCTAAAACACCAGGGGGGACTGAGAAGAATGCTCATTATGGTTGGGAACCATTGGATGTACCACAGGGTAAGCTGCAAGGCTACAGGGGTGACAACAGCAGCTGTACCAGGTTCCCCCCACAAGAAGGAAGAGGCTTTGATCAAGAACAGCTATTCCAAGAAAAGAGGGATCCTGCTGTCTCATCCCAGGTGATACCTTGGTCACACTCAACTGGAACAGATACCTCTGAGAGAGGAGATGCACACAGCTTAGGCTGTACTCCTTCAAGTTCATCAGCTCAGCCCAGCCTTCCCCTGTACAGGGCCTGCCACCCCATAATGCCTGCTGCATCCTCACCTATGCTTCACTCTCCTGATACTGTGCAGAAAACTAATCAATGCCTCCAAGCCAAAAGCCTCAAAACTTTGTTGACTTCAAAAGTGGATGGAGGCAGTGAGGATCCCTATAGGCCAGAGTTTCCCAGCACAAAGGGGCTTGTCCGCTCACTAGCAGAGCAGTTCCAGAGGATGCAAGGTGCCTCCACAAAGGATGGCACAGGTTCCCAGGATAGAAGTTTGACAGATAGTCTAAGGAAGAACTCTTCCCCTTCTGACTCTAAGCCTCCCTTCCTACAGGGTCAAGGGAAAGGCCATTGGCCTTGGGCAAAACAACAATCCTCCTTGGGTGGTAGGGACAGACTACCTTCCTGGGAAGAGCCTGCTGATTATCCTTCTCTTGCCATATACTCTGGGCTGCCTAATAGTGAAACTTCTAGGGGAAGACAGCCCAGGTTGGCAGAACCAAGCATGAACCAAGGAAAGCCATCTCAAGTGAGAGATGCTAGGCCTAAGGAACTGGGCAACAGTGTCGACTTGGGGACTTCCTTACCTTTGGACTCCTGGGTGAATGTCACAAGGCTCTGTGATTCTCAACTTAAACATGGGGTCCCTGGGCCAGGAATGAAGTCCTCCCCCCACGATTCCCATACCTGTGTAGCCTATCCCGAAAAAAACCACATCCTTTTGCATCCACATTGGAACCAAGACACAGAGCAGGAAACCTCAGAATTGGAGTCTCTCTACCAAGCCAGTCTTCAGGCTTCTCAAGCTGGCTGTTCTGGATGGGGGCAGCAAGATGTGGCCTGGCACTCATTTAACCAAACAGGTAAGAATGCAACCATGGGCAGGGGGAGTGGGGGACATATAAAAGCTAAAAGTGAGAGGACAAGATCAGAAGAGGGGTGGCATTCTGTCCAGATAACATCCCCAGCTTAGGAGGTGGTAGCAGATCTTCTGACTTTATTCGTAAAGACTTTAGGACAAGAGCTAGACCTTTTTCTGGCTGGAGTAGAATCATCATGGTCTAGTTCTCTCCTTCTAAAGGAAGAGATCAATGAGTATATGCCCAGGGCTTCTGCAGTATGCAGTGCTAAGGAGTGGTTCATAGATCTTTGAGAGGGACTCAGCATGAAGTAGGGGAGGCTGAGAAGAAAAGTCATCCTTCTATGGCTTAAGAGCTGAACTAATCCAAGATCCAGCTTCCAGATCCAACTTGCAACAAGGATGCCCCACATTGAGCCATAGCTCCCAATGTGGCATTTCCAGATCATACTGAACCAGAAATATCAAGATCTTCCTTGATCCCTTCAGGAACTACCAGGTGTAGAATTTTCAAGATTGTATGCTTGTAGGGTTCCTGTGCACTGAGTACCCCTTAGATTATATTGTGTGAAGAATGAAGTCTACACCTTAAATGTACTTCACAGACTTAGTTCTGGAAACCAAAGACATGAAGAATATTTATAACTTAGATTGATGTACTTGAGAACTCCAAAGCCTGAACTATTATCCTGGTTCCATCATTAACTGTCAGCATAAATTTGGACAAGTCACTTACTATCCCATGGCCAAGTTTTTACCTGTAAAATTAGAGAATGGGTTCAATGATTTGTTTTAAAGATGCCTTCCAACTCTTAAAATGATATATATGATCCTGTGAAATTGAATTCAGAGAATGTTATCTTTAGCTCAGTATGGCAGTTTCCATAACAGTACAGGTTCCTTGCATGCTGCCAACTGGTGTTTAAATACAGCCATACAAGTATTTATTGAGTACCTAGAAGCTGTTCCTAGAAGCTGTTGGTGGGGGGATATTACATAAATATAAAATTTGATGTTAAGGTATGTTTTTTAGGATATGGATCACAGTGTAGACTTTGCAATAGCATTATATTAAGTGCTCCCTAAGTACATGGGACCGGGCAGTATGGGAAGATTCTAAAGAACAAGGAAAAGCTCACATCTACCTCAATTAGCTTCCTGTCGGAGGGAGAAAGAATATACAAATGTCAAGTATTTTAAGAATAATAATAAACACATATAAAAGAATATATTGCAATTAAAATTAAACTAACTGAATATCAAGCATCATATTACAAAAAAACCCCAAACAAAAAAACTCTTACATTACCCAAAATAGGAAATTTTTCATTGTAGATACTTTTGAAAATATATAAAGTAACAAAAATCATTGATAATCCCACTCATAATTTCATGAGTTTACTTCTGGCTTTGTTTTTTTATGCATATATACTATATATTTTGTTTTGTTTTTTTAAAAAAAGCAAATTGTTACAATATATGTATGCAGTTTATTCTCATGATATTTTTACATTATATTCATGAGCATTTTCCCTTTGAAAAAAACTACTTTTAAGGACTGGCAATATGCTGCATATGAATGTACTGTAATATATTCAACCACTTTGTTATACTTTATATACTTCCAATTTTTAGATAAATAGATGATGAGTATCTTTATATGTAAGTGTTTGGCCACAATTCTGATAAGCTCCTCAGAATAAATTTTTAGAAGGATAATAACAGGTGAAGGTTACTGACTTTTAAAAATTTCTTGATATGTACTGGTAAATTAGCCTTCAGGAAGATTATACTTCTGAAAACAATTTCGGAAAGAGTACCTACCAAACGTTACTTTTTTGCTTAATATTAAGTGAACAAAAATTAATTAAAAAAAATCCATCTGATGAGTCAGTCCTCAAAATCCCTTGTCAAACCAAACTAGCCTTTATTTTGACATAAAGAAGTGATCAGGTGGAATAAATCAGGAAGTAAATAATGAAGGGAAATGCCAATTAGGATCTGTATATGATAGGATATATCTTTAGGGGAGTCCCTCTTTATCTTATTGTAAAGCATTTTTTAAGTACCAAGGTACTTTCTCCCCCCAGCTTTATTGATATAATTGACAAATAACATTGTATAAGGTTAAGGTGTACAATGTGAAGGTTTGACACATATATATTTGAAATGATTACCACAAGGTTAGTTAATACAACCATCACCACGGATAAATTGTAGTTTTTTTGTAAGAACATTTAAGATCTACTCTCTTAGCAACTTTCAAGTAAATAATGCAATATTGTTAACTACAGTCACAATCCTGTATATTAGATCCCCAGGATTTATTCAGCTTATAACTGGAAGATTATATCCTTTGACTATCACCTCCCCATTTCCCTCACCCTCCAGCTGCTGTCAACTACCATTCTATGTTTCAGTGAATTTGTCTCTTTTTAGATTCCACATATAAGTGATGTCATGTAGTATTTGTTTTTCTCTGACTTATTACTTAAAAAAAAGCTTTATTGATATATAATTTACATACCATACAATTCACCTACTTAATATGTATAATTCTGTTTTTTAAGTATACTCACAGAATTGTCCATCCATCACCACAATCAGTTTTAAATGTTTTCATTACCCCATGGGGTGCCTGAGTGTCTCAGTTGGTTAAGTGTCCCACTCTTGATTTTGGCTCAGGTCATGATCTCAGGGTCATGAGATCAAGGCCCACGTTGGGCTCTGTGCTCCGTGTGGCATCTGCTTGAGATTCTCTCTCTCTCCCTCTGTACTCTTCCTCCCACGCCACACATGCTCTCTCTCTCTAAAATAAATAAATAAAATCTTTAAAGAAACCCACTACCCAGGGCGCCTGAGTGGCTCAGTCGTTAAGCGTCTGCCTTCGGCTCAGGTCATGATCCCAGGGTCCTGGGATCGAGCCCCGCATCGCCTCCCTGCTCCGTGGGAAGCCTGCTTCTCCCTCTCCCACTCCCTCTGCTTGTGTTCCCTCTTTTGCTGTGTCTCTGTCAAATAAATAAAATCTTTAAAAAAAAAAAAAGAAAAAACCCGCTGCCAATTAGTAGTCACTCCCCATTTCCCCCTACCCCTGTCTCCCCCAGCCCCAGGCAACCTATAATCTATTTTGTCTATAGATTTGCCTGTTTTGGATATATGATATAATGGAATTGTACAGTATATGTTGTTTTGTGACCAGATTAATTTTGACATTATAGTTTCTTTTTTTTTTAAGATTTTATTTATTTATTTGACAGAGAGAGAGAGACAGCAAGAGCTGGAACACAAGCAGGGGGAGTGGGAGAGGGAGAAGCAGGCTTCCCACCAATCAGGGAGTCTGACTTGGGTCTCAATCCCAGGACCCCGGGATCATGACCTGAGCTGAAGGCAGATGCTTAATGACTGAGCCACCCAGGCGCCCCTAATTTTGACATTATAGTTTCTGAAGAGTTATATAAACATTGCCTTTGACCTGTATTTCTAAATTTCATAGAATTTTTAAGTTAGGCAGACATCATCTTAAAAATAACTTTTTGTTATAGAAAATTTCAATTCTAATCAAGAGTAATGAGTAAATGTTACAATAACCCTCCAATACTTATCACTAGCTTCCACAGTGATTATCTTGAGCAATTATCAACATATGGCCAATTCTGATTTAGCTATAGACGCCCCCCCAACCTTTCCCCTCCCTACTGGATTATTTTACTGTTTGTTTTATTTATATATAAATGTTTTATTTTATTTGTTTTTTTATTTCCTTAAGTAATCTCTACTTAGGTCTCAAACTCACAACCCTGAGATCAAGAGTTGCAAACTCCACTTACTGAGTCAGCCAGGTACCCCTCTACTGGATTATTTTAAAGCAAATCCCAGACATTATATTATTTCATCCATAAACAATTTGGAATGTATCTCTAAGAAATACAGACTCTTTTTTTTTTAAAAGGCAAAACTATAATATTATTATACCTAAAAAATTAACAATAATTTTTAATACAGTAACTAGCCAGTATTCCCATTTTTTCAATTACCCCATAAATGTCTTTTCACAGTTGGTTTATTTCAAATTAGGATTCAAACAAGATCTACACATTGCATTTTGTTGATTTGTTTCAAGGCTTTTTTTAGCCTGTAAAATTCCGGGGTTTTTTTCCCCTTAGCACTTATTTATGGAAGAAATTTGGTCATTTGTCAAATCCACATTCTAGATTTTACTGATTATATTCTAGTAATTTTTTCTTTTTTAAAACATGTTCTTCTGCCCGTTTTTTGTAATCTGGTAGTTAGGGCTAGAGGCTTGATTAAAGTCAGGTTCAATTTTTTTTTAAGTTTTATTTATTTAAGTAATCTCTACACCCAAAGTGGGGCTTGAACTCACTACCCCAAGATCAAGAGTTCTGCACACCTCCAGTTGAGCCAGCCAGGCAACCTTCAGTTTTTGTTCTTGTTTTTAATAAGAATATTATAGAGGGAGTACTTTGTATTTCTTTTTTTTTTTTAAGATTTATTTATTTGAGAGAGAGAGTGTGTGTGCACGTGTGAGCAGGGGGCAGGGGTCGAGGGAGAGGGAGACAGAATCTCAAGCAGATTCCCTGCTGAGCGGGGAACTGGACACGGGGGCTTGATCTCAGGATTCTGAGAGCATGACCAGAGCTGCAATCAAGAGTCAGACGCTTAACCCACTTGAGCCACCCAGGTGCCCCTACTTTGTATTTCTTATATCAGGAAGTGCGTGATATCTGGTAGTCTTTCTTCTTGTTATTGTTGATCCATGAGTAGACATCATGTTAACTCTATCTTCTATCAAATCCATATATCCCCTCAACAGTACTCCTTACAGGTAGCCACCTTCACCTCTGCTGAAATATCTTTAAAAGAATCAGTCTATTCCCTTCAGGAGTTTCCAGCAGCCACCTCCTTGTCTAGTAATCAGACTTTATTAGAAGAACACCACATTCTAACCATTACAGCTGTAATTCTTAAATCTGGCTGCCCATCATAGTCACCCAAGGAGTGGCTTTTTAAAAAACACAGAAATAATTTTATATAAATGGGATGACAACATACATGCTGTTTTTGTAGACATTTTCTTATTTATCTTTCCTCCTCTTACATAAATTCCTACCTTTTATCCTCCACCTTCTAGGTAATAACCTAATGTGCATATTTCTGTATTTTTCTGTTCATATAATCCTATGTAGACCTACATATACAGTGGGGTTTTTTGCCTCATGATAGTATTACAGACTTTTTTTTCCTTTTAACTTAACAATCCTTCATGAAAATCCCTCCAAGTCATCTAGTTTAACTCAGTTCATTCTTTTTAGTGAGTGGCTGGGCATATTTGGTAGTGTAGATACCTTAGTGTATTTAGTCATTCTGCTATAGATGGGCATTACTTTATTTCTAGTTTTTTGGCCACTACAAATAATGCCTCAGTAAACTGGTATTTTTGTTTCTTATTCCTTGGAGTAGAATTGTTGGATAAAAGGGTAAATCATATTTTCAACTTTATTTTTTTTAAGATTTTATTTATTTATTTGAGAGAGAGAGAATGAGAGATAGAAAGCATGAGAGGGAAGAGGGTCAGAGGGAGAAGCAGACTCCTTGCTGAGCAGGGAGCCCGATGTGGGACTCGATCCCGGGACTCCAGGATCATGACCTGAG